TGGAACGACCTCCCCGTGGAGATCCGGACCCTTACTACCCTCCTGGCCTTCCGCAAAGCCGTTAAGTCCTGGCTGCTCCAGCAGGCAGGGGGGCTTTCGAAATATCCAGCCCCACGGAAACTGTGACTGTCGTGTATTTTAAAGTGTTGTTTTGTTTATTTATCCCCTTCCCTTGTTTATTGTAAGCCGCCCGGAGTCCTTCGGGAGTGGGCAGCATACAAGACCAATAAACATCAACATCAACATCAACATCAGACACGTGTACTTTCTTTCTCTTTCAGGGTTTTGATTCTCACCATTACACTAATTCTGGCTCTTGCTTTCATTGAAGCACCTTCTTCACTTACTGTCACATCAGATGTGCGGTATCGCTCAGAAGCTTGGAAGCCTCCTTGTGGCCTGACTGAAAGCATTGAATTGTTTTGCTTCCTTGTCTTTATGGTAGACGTCTCTGTGAAGGTTAGTGAGCTCTGAGATAAATGTCATATCATGTCTTGCATAACTTTGCCTGATTTTCAACCTTTTAAAGAGAAAGTTGGTGAGAAGATAGCAAATGCCCAGTTTCAAAGCTTGCTTGAGAAGGCTTTGAATGCTACTCAGACAGCATTGATTGAACTTGTGGGTGGCCTTTGGAGAGCCCTCCTGGGTTCTCTCAGCAGATTTCAATATCTTTCTGAGCCAGGCTTGAAGAAAAGAGTGCGGAACAATCATTGTTCAATGTTCTTCCTTCAACACTGGTTCCACTCGGTATTATTGAAGGAGGGGAAAGATGTAGCCCAGTGATAGTCAACCTGGTCCCCTACCGCGCACTAGTGGGCATTCCAGCTTTCATGGTGGGTGGTACGGGTTTTGTACGATATTGAAGCACTTTCTTTTTAAAAATTTAATTGACTTTCCTACTTTATAAATCACCATTACTGTGGAACCGGTGGGCGCTTAAATTTTTTTATTACTAACAGAGATACAAAAGTGGGCGGTACGTATAAAAATGTTGACTACCCCTGATGTAGCCTGAGGTGCCTTCTCTATAAAGTGTTTTTCTCTCACCCATGCTGCAAGGAACCACTAGGGTATATATGAGGATGATTTATAATTAGGCATAAAAATGTAGTTTTATATGTCAACCTCTGGCTGGACAAACAATGCTTTCAGTGTGCTTCCTCAGTTTCTGGAGGCTGTAAGAGTCTGGATGGGGAAGTCTATGATTCAACTCTGGCAGGATAGAAAGGGTTTAGGACCTCCTAGATCTGGAAATGTTCCACCTTTAACTCTTGCTGGTATTCCTTTTAAATACGCCATATATCTTTGCATTGTAGTCCTTTGCAAAATATTTAATGTGGTTGATGCTGAAAGATGGATGCATCACAAATTGCAGTGTCTCTTTGGCACCCTCTGTGGGCTGTTACAGCTGAGTAAACAATGACTGTATCCAGAAACCACCCAGTCACCCATCATTACCTTTCTTCTGAAATACAAAAAAGGGAGTATATCAGGATAGATTTGCTCCTTTTGCTTCTCTGGGACTTCTTGGTAGGTATAAGGATGATTATGATACAAATATCCTCTTATTTCTATGCAGTTTACCAGGGTTCCAAAGTGTGGTTTCAAAGATATTATTTCAGTCATTGCAAATTAATTCTCCCAGATGCAATGGATTATTGGTTTTAAAATGTAAGTTAGCAGCCTAGGTTGATTGAGAGTTGTAATCTTAAAAGAATCCAAGTTTGGAAAAGGTTACCAAGTTTGGAAAAGGTTACACTAACCTTTTCTCTGTGCCTGTTTGCAGCTCCAAAAATGAAATCTCAAGAAAAGTTGATTTTTGAAAGTTTAAATTAGAGGCATATTATCTGAGAACTCTCAGCCATTCGGTGAGTTCCAAATCCGGGGTTTAATCCCCAGAACTGCTCTGAAAGATGCTGCAAAATTGTAATCTTTCTTGTAAGGGAAAGATACAAGGTTAAATGTTTAGAAAGAAACCATAACAATTGCAATTAATTTAAATGCAATTTTTACACTTAAATTAAATATAGGTTTTGTTTCATCTTTTAAGCACTCCTTTTTGGAGGATAGCCCATGGCATGTTGCTCCGAAGCCCAAGCATAATGCTTGGTGAGAATATAGATGTCATACTTCGTCCCATAAATGTATACCAAATAGATCAAAGCATTCTGTCTTTAGGGACTGGGATTGGGAACATAGTCTCCAAAACTACCACATGATCAGATCTTCCATTTTCTTAATAGCCGGTTTGACTATTTACCAAAATATTATGAAAATTAGTTGGATCCTTTTGCTTATGAACAGTAACCTAACTAATATTCAAATATGTTGATTCACTAGAGCTACTTAATTGGATGGGAAGAATTTCGGAAAACCAAGTGGTTAATGGCCTACATCCTGGTCCTGCTCATCTCCCTTGTAGACTGGAGCATTTCACTGAGTTCTTCCTGTCATGAAGTAAGGCGTGTGGATGCTTGGATGAATGTCAGGGAGGTAGGGAATCTATGGATTCAGAGATGGCCCATGACCATTTCGATATGGGATTGGGACAAATAAAACACTAATGCTGCTTGGTTATACACCTGCTATTGTCAGTCTGTATTCTGTGTTTACATATGAAAAACCTAGAACTAGCATGACCTCGGTCTGAATTCGGTAATAAATATGTATGATGATAATTGCAACAGCAGTAACAAGTAATATGATCCTTTTAATTTTGTCCTTCCCCTAAGAAGTTCAGAATGATATATGTGATTGTACCTTCCACAATTATGTTATCCTCCTTATGCTGCTGCAAGATAAGTTTAGATTCGTTACTAATGACTACCCAAGAAACGTAATCAGTCTTCTGGGTCGCTGTTCCAATCATTGTATTCTGTTCTCTCCTTCCATTGTTTATGCTGTATCCTCACAGCAATTTTTCCAACGTACTCCAGTACACCTGTCTCCAAGCTGTCCCAATACTATATGCTTGATAGCTACATCTGCCTTAGCTTGGCATGTGGAGGGCCACAGAAGATGCATATCCTACGCAAATTTGTCAGGATAGTTAAAAAATGTTAAGTGTATCTGGTAACTGATACGCTAATAACTTAGTTGAAACAGTCAACCACACTAACTTATGTACAGAGCAATAGCTCTTTATACAGAAAGCAGATTTTCATTTTGATGGGCTCGTTCATCTGCTTTTTAAGATAATTTTATTCTGCAGTAGTTTTTAGGACTCGACAAATCTTGATTTTGATTTAGGAGGATCACAAGTGAAAATTAATTCTGCAAAGGGTTTCTCCCTAATTCTTACTGTGCAATAGAGAGATTTGGATGAGGCTTTGCCACTTGATTAATGAAGTTTGATGCTTTTCTTTTGTCCATTTGTTAGTGAGATGACTGCATTGGGTGAAAGATCGTGGGTTTTATTTGAATTTGTGGTAATTGCAGTCATACATAATGATTGTTGAATTAATGGCAGAATTAATTTAAAGGTGTTGTTCTGGTTTTGTGGTCATTCCTAAATGTTTTCTTTTTTTAGAACCTGAGGATAAGACGTATCCTTCGACCTTTCTTCCTTCTCCAGAATTCTTCAATGATGAAAAAAACACTAAAAAGCATCAAGAGAACATTGCCAGAAATTACAAGGTATGTAACAATATGTAATGCCTGCTAGAGATAAGCCAAATTTATATTTTGGTAGTAGAATATTTGGGCAACATTTATCATTGCAATAATTGAGCACTTTTCCAGAAGTAAAACACCACAAACGCTTATTATTCTGGAAGATTTCCTTCAGGAAAACTCCAAAAGCTGATGAATTTGGGTAGTTTGAGGAAAAGCCAAATGATCTACTGGTCCCTCAAATATTCCAGTGTTGTGGCCCGCCAGTGGAGCTGGCAGCAGAGTTCGACAATGAGGAGATTGGGGAGGAGCATGGGCCAATCCTGGGGCTGAGAAAAGCTCAGATGAGGGCTCTGCATTGGAGGCAGAGAGGGAGCTAGACAGCAGTGAGGCAGAGGGACAGCTGGAGCCTGTTCCCAGTGTGCACATGCACAGAGCTGCCAGAAGACAAGAACAACTAAGAAAGCAGGGTCGATTTAGGAGTAAAGCCGCACCTTGGAGGTGATTGGCCCCTCCCATAGGAAACAAAAGATTAGTGAACGGGGAGTGGGCTTTTGCAGGAAACAATTTGTTCAATCAGTTGTTTCAAGAGTGGAAAGTTTTGTTTGTGACAATAAGAGACTCCGTGCCAAGATTTTCCTTGCCCTGCGTTTGGAAAGTAGTTATCTGGCAGCTCTCCAAACGAGATAAGTTTCATGTAGATAAATATTCCCCTGAAAGACTGCTAAGCCTTGCTGACTGTGAATGAAAGGAATTCACAGTCGTGTAAATACAAGAGGTTTTGCTGGGACCAAGACTCCGCTTCTTGCTTTTTAAGGAAGCCTGAGTCAGAACATGGACCTTCAAAACACACATCCCTAGTATTTGCCAGTTTCTAATAAATACATTCTTTCACATTATACTAACATTTGAGAAAGAAAACAACGGAAAGCTGAATACATTTTGGTTGGAACCAGTGCTGGAATAATGAAGATGCTGCAAAGAGCGGCAGTGATGACGTTCTCCTGTTCAGCTGGTAGTAAGATTTCCGCAGCTGAGACTTTGGTGATACAGTCTGCTCTCACGAGTGAAAAATTCTTCATTGCCATTTGAAGATGCTCACTAAAGTAGTGTTACCTCTTTCTTAGTTTTAGATGCATTTGGCTTATTTTCTTCATTTGACACATTTTTTTATATATAAAACTTCTGACTGTTGTCTATGGCATCTCTTTCCCTACATATGTCTTGTGTTGTGATGAAGGAATAATGTTGCATTATATTTTCTCCCTAATAGTGTTATGCTGCTCTTAGCTGTTCACCTGTTTCTCTTTACCATGTTTGGCATGCTGCTGTTTGCTCGGACCAAAGTAAGTAACACATGTAATGAAATCTTGGTTCTTTGTATAGGACAAAACAGTTGCTTATATATAAATATAGATGTATAAAAAGAGGTATAATTTTTTTAAAATAAATATTTTTCCCCTGAAATGTAAATTCTCCCATGTCATGTGTTAGGCATAACATTATGATAAATCTGGGCAACTTTTTTTCCCTTGCTCATCATTTTACTTGATAATTATTCATACCATTGTCACATTGTCAGTAAAATTACAAGACACGATTCTTTCCTGCATTCCCTGGTAGAGCAGAACTAAATAACTTCTGCATTTTCTGTGAAGGGCAATTTCATAGCCGAGATCTGCCAGCTTTTCCTTGTCATTCTCCTGAACATTTTCTGAATGCTTTCTTGAAAGTTGTGGATAAGATATTAATCCACTTCTGTAATTTTTCACCATTCTCGTCTCTGCTTTTGCCGCTCTGTTTTCCCCTTAATTTTTGCATTCGTTAAGGTTGCATGTCAAGATTCCTTCATGGTCATAGGGAACCATTTTTTAAAATTCACTTTATTGAAAAACTAC